TGGCAACAGGGCCTCAAAGATATGAGTACGAGATTTAGCCATAACAAATGCAGCTGTGGAGTATGGGGGACGCTCCAGTAAGTGACAGCCAGGGGCCATACTTGAGCAAAGAGTTCAAAGAGACATTGTTCGTATCGCAGTGCCAAAAAAACCCTCTTCCTTTAGGTGCGTTGTCACACATGAAAGCCCTGATCTGTTTTCAGGTGGAGTCTGAGTTTCTAACCTTTGATCTGTGTGTGGAAGTTATACTAACACATCTGGGTAACAGAAACACCTTGCCAAGGAGGTGTTGGTTCTCGTGTTCAACAGGAGGCAGGTCACCTGCACCTTCTGCACAACTGTCTTATCACTGGCATAGTTTACTGTCCTATATAGAGAAACAGTAATGAAACATTGTCTTCCTATGTTGTGATTTTAAGAATTTAATGCTTCCTTGGCTTATTTCAACCAGACTGATCACTGTTCTCTCCGGTAGTATATTCCCCACATTAAGTTAAAAAAAAACAACCAACCAAAAAAACCCACTTTGTTATGAACTTTATAATTTAAGAAATTCTGTACCATTGATTCCTGTGTCCCTGCAAGACTGGAATTATTAGTAGCCCAGTTGGTAAACATTCTAAGCCTGAGAGTCGCATTACACAGTCCAGGACCACAAAGCCAGCAGCTGGAGAATGACAGGCTATGCGTTGCAAGGCCCTCCTGTGGCAAAGCCAGGGTGCCTGTTCTGCTGCTGGCACAGTTAGATGAAGAAATCAAACTCGTACGACTCCATTTTTAGAACTGCAGTGTCACATGAATGTGGTCCGTGGACATCTTTGTTTGCAGTCTGCTTTATCTCCATTGTTATAATCTGAACCCATTAATCCCCCGCTCTGTCTCTCCTTGAAAACTTTTCAAATGCCACGTCTGATTTTGGGCCACTTGATAATCTTACTTTTGGTCATTGTGAATATCGTCTTAATCATCATTATCATATACAAGTCCATGCTGTATCTTCCATTTCTGTATCTTCCCTTTTTCTTTCTGATTTATTCAAGAAATACTCATATTGCAAATATTGACACTTAGCATTTGATGGCCATTTTCTCCTTGACATTCAAAATGATTAGTTGGACACAGATCCTACCTTTAAGAAGCTTATAGTTTGCAGTCAGGATGACAAAACTGAAACTTTTTTTTCTCTAAGCACATACAAATTTTGCATTTAAGAAAATCTTAACATACACAGGAAAGCTCAAAAGAAGAAATGAACAGAGAGTTCATAGCCAGGATAGTTTAACTCAGAACAAACGCTTCAGTTGTCCCACCTCACCCCAGGCCACTGATCGCAGATACAGTTTGCTTGGTAGTAAGGGGGAATTAGAGTACAAGCTTGAAAAGAGCAAAAACTTAAAATCCTAGAAAATTTGGGGTCTGTGGTAAAGCCCCTTGCACAAATCCAGGGCTCAGCAAAGAGTTCACTCTAACAGGAACAGCAAAACTCATCCAGCTAGCAAGCCCAGGAGCATACCAAGGAAGCAGGAAGAAATAAGACACTCAAGCCTATATCACATCGTGTATGCAATCTAAATTTGATCTATATGACTCTCACAGAGAGGATCTCAGCTGATAAATTCACATAAAAACTACCAACAAGAACAAGCAAAATACTTACGTTCATGAGTGTTGTGAACACTACAACTTTCTGTAGAGTCCCTTCCATGAGCCAGCGCTTGGGGTTCACCCAGAGGACAACGTGCCAGGATAATGCAGAACTACAAAACACATATGCTTAAAATATCTCTCAATGTAAGGATATATATTTTTCATAAAGGAAGAAATGTTTAATGAAAAATAGTGAATTTGTCTGAGAAAGAACATTTCCAACTTCCTCAGCATGAAAAATACTGCCACTAAAAATGAGGCACTAAATCATGGTCTAGAAATGAACACAGAAAAAAGTATTTTATTGGAAGATACGTCTGAAAGAAATACCCATAATGCAGTGCAGAGAGCTGAGGTAGGCAATATGGAAGATAGGTAAATGTGGAAGACCCACTGAGAAGGTCCAACATACTGCAAATAGAAGTTCAAGAACGAAAAATGACCAGAACGGGATGAAGGTGACATTTAAACAACAATGACTAAGGACATTTCAGAAATTGAAATAATAGCTTCACTTTCAAATGTAAAAAGGACATTGTGTCCTGGTCAGGAGATAAAAGTACGTCTGTACCTATGAGAACATCATAATTAAACTGCAGGCATCAGATAAATGGAAAAAGTTAAAGCCACAAAAGAGAAAATGTAAATGTCTTAGGAGAGAATCACAATTAGACTAAGTGCAAATTTCCTCAAAAACTGTGATGAAGACCCAAGTGTAACTGGGAGAGATATTTAAAAGAATTAAGGCGAATTCCCTGTCAAGTTGGAAATCTTTAGCTTTAAATTACCCTCCAAGAATGCAGGTAAGAGACAGACATTTTAAGAAAAACTAAAACTGTAAGACAAATTTCTCTTAGTAATTAACCCTCCTGAAAAACTGATAAATATTCTTCAATGAGAAATTGAACCTATAAAGAGTAAAGTGATGGTAATCAAAGAGACACAGTGGTGGATCGAAACAGGTGTGGTGTGTGTAAGTATGAGAGACACTCACTTCCCTGGAGATTTGAACACAAGTCAGAATGCTCATGCTAAAGTGCCATAACATGGCAGACAGGAAGCAGAGAGCAAAGATGAAACCATCTGAATTTCGTCTGTTTCTAATGGAAAAGTTATTGATCACCTTTAATTTTAAGAATCAGAGTTTTAATAAAGCATCAAAAAATGTTTTATACATACATACACACATGCACATATATAAAGTCTGTTAAAACATGCGTACATCAGGAAAAGAAAAATGTATAAATATTTTAATACTAAATTTATTGAGGTGTCATGAGGTGAATACAGTTACCATCGGTGCTCAAAGTGGTGGCTGTCAGCTTCCAGATGTTCATTAGTACAGGGAACTGCTGATGTGTGTCTACATATTTTTGATGCACTCTGAATATATACCTTCTGGATCCAGTAGAGGAGGACAGAAAGAGCTTTAAAAAGTTGATCAGTCTAACTAAAGGAAGGAAAGTATAATCAGCAAAACAGACGAAAAAGGGATTAGGGAAGAAAGTTAATAGAAAGGAAAATTCAAATATATCAATAATAATAAATGGAACAAATTAAACTGTGCTATTAAAATACAGAGACTGTCCACATTTTTACTCACCTTTCTGCTATGTAGGATTCACACAGGTAATTTGAAAATAAATACCAGGCAAGCTGTAAAGAGAGTGAAAAGGGGAGAGGGAGGAAGACATTAGGATCAGAAAAACGTTTAAGGCAAAAAATACCAGAATAACATTGGAAGCTGGGTATAGCAGCCTGTGCCTGTGGTCCAGCTACTTGAGAGGCTAAGGTAGAATCAATTATGCTCCATTTCCAGTCCCTTAAAATTTTAATTTAGAGACAGGAACTTGCCAGGTTGCTATATTGTCCAGCAAGGGCTCAAACAAGGTGGTCCTCTTGCCTCAGCCTCCCACAGTGCTGGAATTGCAGGTGTGTGCCACTATGCCTGGGTTATATACTATTTATTGATGCATGCATAGTAAAATGTATATGTCTGAGAGGAACTGATAATCCCTCAACTGGAGTAGTTCCTGTGAATAAAAGAGATGAGGTCAGAGCAAGGAGGAAGACAGGGTAGGCCTGTTCAAGCAAATACAGCAACAGTATCAGCATCTGTTCATGTGGGTAGCTTTGGACGGTGGATTATTCTGAATGTATTAAGATGTTTCCTTGGTGTCTGCTGCTATTTTGTATGTTTAAAGGAGCTTCTTCATGTAACATAGGGAGATGATGGGAGAAGGAGGATACACCATAATCATTCAGAGCGAAATGTACCAGGTTTCACCCTGAGCTCCTTAGCGCTACACTTGGAGCTGAGCTAGGAGAAACATCCACCACTCATGAGGAGTCCTGGATGTATCTTGGAAGACTGATGTGACATTGCTGCCCCACAGACGACTGCTTATGTGCAGGGACCCTGAGAAATGTGTCCCCATGGTGACCTCTTTCTCTGTCTTTGGTCCACCAAGTCCTTTCCTTTTTTTTTTACTACTAGATTATCTTTAAAAAAACTTTTTGCAGTCTGGTCAAACACTAGTAACTTAGGGCCTTCCAGTAGGTTTTTACACTGAAGAAAAACATCTAAAAACTAAAGTGATACCTTGCTTCTCAGGGAAAGAGAAAAAAGTCACTTCTGTGACTGCATCAGTGCGTTGTTATGGAAATGAGTGGATCATAGAGGGAAGGGGTTGGTGGACCACGGGTGTGTCTGGAAACGTGTGCGTAAGGCGCCAGGGTCTTATTGCTTGCTTGGTTATCAAAGCAATTCCACGTAAGGTTTTCTCCTTTTAATCTTTCTGTTTAACATTTCCTTTGAAAACCTTTTGTGACAGTAGGCAGCATATTCCATGACTTCAGTAAGCAGCAGGGTCCATGTGGCACTAAGACTGGCTGTAACTGTCCTCTGCCTCGCATCCAGCCCTATCCTCTCTCATTGTGGTCAATGCTGGACACCTGTGGCCAGAAAGGAACAAGAGGTGGTGAGCCTCGCCCCATCTTAGCAGCGTCTTTGCTTTGCATGGGGTCTCAATGTGACACACGTGGACGTTACATAGAGCACAACTCCCAGCAGAAACTGCAGTGCAGCATGCTCCGAGTGGGACTGGCCTCCGTGCTTTACGTGTGCTCTTACAGGGTGCTGGGAAGGGCACAGCAGTGCTGGACTTTTTGGATTTTTGCAATTTACCAGTCACCATGAAAGACATCTAACTTGTCTTTAAAATATCTGCTCCATGTTGAAGCCAAGAGATATATTCAGACTTCGGTCTGCTGTTGAGCTGCCCGGGGTCCCCCAGCCTGGGCGTGATGGTGCATGTTCATATTCTCAGACGTTTGCCCCTTTTGCTTTGCAGAGAGAAGATGCACCTGTCTGCCATGTATGAGCTGTGTCAGGGCATGCACCAGATCAGCCTTCAGTTCGTCCGGCTCCAGCTCACCTTTGAGGAATACACCATAATGAAAGTCTTGCTGCTGCTTAGCACAGGTACATTGATGCCCACCCGGGTACTTGTTCTGTATCATCAGATCACCTTCCCTGTAGGAGAGTAGACCATTGATTGTGTTCAGGTTGTTGGCACCAAGAATAATGGTTTCAAAGTGATGGGAGGAGGGTGCTGGCCTTGGAAGGATGGAGTTACTTGCTGAGGGTAGAACTCTGTGCATGTGGAAGAGTGCAGCTCCTCATTCCTCCACTCATGCAGCCACTAGGTGCTTGCTAAGTACCTGTTAGGTATACAGTACGGTCAGACCATCCACTGATCAGCGGGTGAACAGTGCAATTTCCACCTTTGGGGAGCACATACCAGAAGCCAAGTTCAAGGACAACTTTGATGTTCTATTAGAAGTGGGGTTCTGCAATGACAGAGGTGAGGAGAGTTGCAGTGGCTCGGAGGAGGATGAGCATTCAGGAGCTGTAGATTGGATATGAGGGTCATGATGCCGGTCCTTTCTGGACAGGGAAGCTGCATATGGACATGTGAGAAATATAAACAAGCCATGGGGACGCGGTTTGGCAGTGAAAATGGCTGCCTGCTAATTTTTAATTTTGTGTTTGGATTTCATTTTTCAAGGCGTGTCTGATTGTGATGGGTCAGGAGGAAGTGGGGCAGTTGGAATGCTGATTGGGCACAATTATCCAGGGCACATTGGAGAAATTGTAATGTTAGTAGCAGGTGGGCAGCACAGGGCAAAGCTGTGTCTCCTGGCTTCATGGCCCTGTGTCTAGGAGGAGTGAGGTGGATTGAAGGGAGGTAAACAGGCAGAGACAAAACTTGGCCTGATGAGAAGCACAGAGAGCTGCTAGAGGTTGTGGACACAGGGCCTGGATTTACAATTGATTGTGTGACAAATAGGGAACAAGTACGCTCAAGAAACATCACAAGGTTGGCCTTGGCCAGTGGCCAGAAGGAGAAATACAATGGATGTAGGTCAGAAACTATGCAGGTTTTGAGCAGAGAAAAATGACTGCCATAGTCATGATGCTGCTAAGAGAAATCTATCGATGTTTGGAATTGGATAATTCGAGAATATAGTCACACACTACCAGGAGTTTTTTGGATGGGTTAACTTTGTAATGCCAACTCTGTGTACTTAATAGATGGCCAGAAGATGGAGAAGATCTGGGGCTAGTACTCAGGACATGGATTTGAAATAAAAATTACCCTTAAGGAAAATTGTAGTTGAAACTCCAGTGATACATGGAGTTGCGGGAAAGAGACATGTCAGAGGCAGATGGCACAGAGGCCGATTCGCAGAGCGATCAGGACTTGGGAGAGCGTATACTACAGGAAACCTAGAGTATCGGCTTCCCCGAAGGAGTACAACTAAAGGGATGGCTTACACAGAGACAATCGAGAAGGGCAGGAAGGCTTCTAGAGGTGGGCATCTGGCAGGTACCAGACAGCCCAAAACTTGCTGTCTGGGAATGGTGCCAGATTGATGGGAAACCTTTTTAAGCTCATGGAAGGAAAGAGTTGAGGACAGAAGGTGCCAGGGAGACAGGAGAGGACAGGGTTAGCCTTGGAAAAGGTCTCAGGCACTTGTTCCTCGGACCAGAGTACAAAATTTCTCAAACACAGAGAAAAGAATCCATTCACAGGGGAAAAGAGCAAGGCCCAGAAAAATAGCAGGAGACAGTTCAGAGAGAACAGCTCTGAGGCAAGTGCTGTGGCTGGTGAGGAAACAGAAATGTTTTGGGTGTCAAGAGCCAGCGGGGAGGCCAAGGCAAGTGGGCTTTCAGAGGAGCAAGTTTTGAATGTGAAGTGGAACAGAGTGTCCAGTCCCTGCATGCTCAGCCCTCATCTGGGCCTGGATCTGGTATCAGAGGTGTGGGCAGAGGTCCAGTCTTTGGAAGAGTGCTTTGGAGAAGTGGCCTTATGAGGGAGATGGCCAAGGTGGAACAGACCCTGAGACATGTTATTTCCAACCAAGAGTGACTGGGTCTGAGGTGGATAGAAAATAAAGAGATACGGGGCGACAGTGGCGAATACTCCTGCCTCCCTGTGGAGCACCTCACAATTTGCAATTCCATTTTTTCCTGTATTATCTCACTTGATGCTAAAAGCAACCATGGGAGATTGACAACTCCACTGTAAAGTAGGCAGAAGGAAGCATCTGAGCGTTACATGCTCAGCATGTTGTGTGAGTCAGGGCCCAGACCTGAGGCTCTGGACTTCACATCCAGAGTGATTCTTGCGCTGCCAGGACCCAGGAGCCTGGGCTAATGGCCTCAGGTCAGGATGGCAGCAGGCAGCCGGCAGAAGGAAGTGTAGGCACCATCACAGAGGGGCACCCTGAGCCCTGACGGAGTGGCGCCAGCAGTGCACAGCTGTGTTGTGTTTGGCCTGCACAGATGAAGAGTCTGCTTTTGGCCTTTTGTTTTCTTTTATTTTCATTGGATCTGACTGCCCAGGGCAGGGCGTGTTCCCCCCAGTGTGCCGCAGGTCCCACCATTCCTCACTACTTACGCCCAACCCCACTTCCTGTAGCTTTTTCGTTTCCAGCTCCTCATCTTGAGATAGACAGGAAAAACGAACAAACAAACAAACACTAGGCTGTTTCTCCTGTGCCATTCTCTAGTGGTGTGGACCCCTTTCCTAATTTTTTCCTTTGTGCAATATAACTTTGGAAAAGTAATCTTTCAATCCAGTGAAAATAGTTTTAGTCCACTTTCAAACCATGTCATGAGCCATTCCTAGTTCAAAAAATGTTTAAAATGTTCTGTCTAATGCAGTATAGGTTTTAAATGAAGTCTTATTTTCTAAAAATGCCCAAGTTGCTAATTCTTCACATTCTTCTGTGTCCATTTAGCCCTTTAGCCTCTAATAGATTCTGGTATCATTTTAAAGTTCCCTTAATTCATTTATTAGCTTTCAAGTAGCTCCGTGCTTTCAATTCTGAACTTTTAAGTGCAGAAAAAGTACAATGAAAAGGCAGGAGAATGTAACTAAAGAATTTCATGAGTCACAGAAACTGCAGGCTGTAGTGGGCTTATTTTGCTAATCTGTGATTGAATGCATTAAAATGGTCCCTTTTGTTTAGGAATGTGAAATTGCACACCTGATACCTTCTGTATATCAAGACAGGGTTTTTTAGCAATGACATCAAAGAATCTCATATTGTTTCTGCTTACAGAGGAAAACAGACCAACTTCTACCCCAGTTGTATCTCTGTTCTTCTCCAGCCCATAGATTCTGGATGTCCTCCAGCAGCCCTGCTGCATTTAATAAGTAAATTCAGAAATTCTGGGAAGATCTCCAAAAATTGAGGTTTTGCTTAAATTCCCTTTATTTGTTGGTTTGTTTCAACTTCTAAAAAATCTGGCTGGGAAATTGGTACGATATATTTCACTTACAGCAGTCAAATGTAAGAAATAATATTTGATGCAAAGTGTTGTACTCTTGAGACTTTTGTGTAACACAGCCATCAGAGATGGGAAGGTCTTTGATTAATCTTAGTTGCTATGTACCAAAGAATATTGGAATAGAATGGTGACATTTATTCACTCTATTTAAATGGCAGACTATTGCTTCGTGTATAGGATTACGTCCATATAAGTATCTATATTGGAAAATTAAAGGCTTGCTTTATACAGTTTTATAACAAAGACGTTAATTTGTGGATGGGCAGTATAGGATATTATTTGCAAGCTTTTAATTTCCTTTAGAAAATTTTAAGTTACCATTAAAATTTTAAGTTACCATTAAAATTTGGGTAGAAAATAAATCTGTAGTTTTACTATCAACATACTAGTTACTACCATGCTTCTTTGTTTGTATGCTTTTAAAGCAATGCTTTTTAATTTTAAACAAAAATCCCCACCCCACCTCCCAAAAAAGAAAAAAAATACCCTACTTGTTGTAAGATGATGGCATTTAACTCTTGGTGTGAAAGTCAGATATTTAAACCACAGCTAATACTTTGGCACCCACAGGAATTTGTACAGTCACTGTCGGGAATTTGTTTTTCCCTATAAAAAAGTAGATTTAAATGAACTATAAATCAAAAGTCTCAACAATTAGACTAAAAAAACAATTAGACTCAAGAAGATTATTAACATAATAGTAGAAGTTAAACTGCAGGATAATTCATATTTTTAGGATAACAGGCCTTATTTGGAAACAGAAGTTATGCCTGCTTTCAGGATTGCAGTGATACTGAGAAACTGTACAGAACTATTCCAGAGTGCTGATGACCCAAGGCAATTATTTATACCAGTTATTTAAAAAGTAGTAAATTCAATATGCAATAAACAAGCAAAAGTAAAAGCACTTTCAAACTCAGAATGCTACTATCCCAAGATGGCTTTTCATTAGGTCTTTCTCCCCTAAAAATGAAGTTCTAGGTGAGCTTCCTTTTCAGATTTGAAGCACACACAATAACCACCATTGGCCAGAGTGAACAGAAAATGGTGCAAGCAAATTTTGGAAGTGGATGCCTTTGGTTCGATCTCTGCCCCTTCCTCTCCTTCCCTTATACCCTTCCTCAATGAAGTACCTTCCCATGAGTCCTAGAAAAGGCATCTCCTTTCACCAGTTACAGGCACAGTTGATCTGCTAGACATCTCAATCTCCAGGTTTTCTTTGTGAAGGTGTGGAGGTGCTGGGGATGGGACCCAGGGACTCACACGTGCTGGGCAGTCACTTTGCCTCTCAGCTCGGGAGTTCGCACCCAAAATATTTTTTTAAGTAAACTTTATTTTGTTCAGCTATAAAACCTAGCCACTCCATAAAAGTAAGGAAGAAAGCATAATGCTTAAATTTTCTCTCTCATGGAAGGTTAAAAAATATACAATTTTCTCTCTTTGAAAATTTTAACTTGTGCCTCAAATGTGGAGCCACTGTTGGTGTTACCCCAACAAAATCTGTACCCAGACTATCTCCAGGTCATTCTGGGGTCTCAGGGACAACATCCTCATATTCAGGGGTCTTGGGGCAAAGACAGAGGAAAGTGATTTTCTGGTGCAGCATCCTGCCCTTGGGAGACAGCCATTGTCCCAGGGTGCCTGATACTTGAACTCACAGTATGAAGATAGTGCTTTCTAACGCAGCTTTTCAAATTGTCCTGCAGAATCAGAATGTATTTTCCTATCTCTGAGGTGTTGGCAAATTAGAATTCGTAAAATACTTTAATGACAGGCCAAGAGTCACGTGGCACTGTGCTTAGAGGGCAGGCCTTGAAAACAGACAGACTGCCATGTATACTACCCCTGCTCTGCCATTATTCAGTGTGTGTTTGGGTACATCAGTCAACCTCCAATGTAGATACCTTATCTGGGAAATGAGAACAGTGTAACGGCTTTGTTCTAATATTGGTGCCAAGATCAACTGAGCTAATATATGCAAAATTACACGCATCTGAGACATAGTAGTTGTTTTGTATATGTGCCAGTGCTTATCAGAATATAGCTGCTACATTCATTCAAAATTGCAGTTAATTGAGATGTAGTACCCAACCTCATAGTCAGTATAAGCTGAAAATATTCCAGGCCATTTATCTGCTAAGATGCAAAAGCTGTTTTTCGTCCTGGGAATTCATGTCTGTATTCCTTAACAGTTCCAAAGGATGGCCTCAAATGCCAGACTGCATTTGAAGAAATGAGGACAAACTACATCAAAGAACTGAGGAAGGTGGTAACTAAGTGTCCCAATAATTCTGGACAGAGCTGGCAGAGGTTCTACCAGCTGACCAAGCTTCTAGACTCCATGCATGATGTAAGTAGAGCCCTTGGTTCTTGTTACGTGAAGGACCAGCAACCACACACACACACACACACACACACACACACACACACACACACACACACGTGCTGCTGGCCAAATGAAACCAGAGAACTGAGAGTTTTCAGGGCTTTGGGAGGAGCAGGGAGGGGCGGTGTCCAGTGGGAGGCAGCAAGAGTTAAATCTGACTAAGGACATTTTTCTTTGGATAACCTTTCAAACAAACCCCATTTACAACAAAGGCTGTGGCTTTGTGCCCTGGACCAGGAATGGACCTCAGATTTGCTACAGGTGTGAGATTGAGTTTCACATTTTTGCTTGCAATTTAGGAAATGTTTGGTTAATAAAAATGTTTGCTTTAACATTGCACAAATAATGTCCATCTTCCACCACTGTTAATCTAATAACCCAATCTTTCAAAAACATTATTAGTGGTTCAGGGCCAGCTGGGTTCATCTCAGTCTTTGCCAAATTTTGAATCCTATATTCGTGATTCTTCATAGGAGTCACCTTTCTTGTCTTATGTAAATACAGAAGAAGGATTCTGAGCTTGTTTCTGATCTAATTAATTAAAGATGAAGCTGAGATTTCTATTTGTTAGCAGCTTCTACAAAATAATGATTTGGGTAACTTACTTTGCACATCATTTAAAATATGCTTCTTGTTTCGCTGTGTGAGGAACTTACCCAGTTCTGGCTCGAAGTATCTTGTATGCAGTCATGCTAAATTAGTTCTTCGTGTTTGTGAAGTTTCCATACTTTCTTTGGGAGCATTTATTATTCAGATTGGGTCTATACGAATTGAATAATAAATTATTTTTCAAATATTTCCTGTGAAGGAAAATGTTGGCAGGCGCAGCAGCCAGTATTGCATTAGGTAAGGTTCCTATCAAGATAATGGTTCATCCTCTAGGTGTCTATGCCAATAGAATGTTCTCTCTCTGGTGCTAATGGCATGGGGTTGGTTAATGAAAAAATATTATTTTCTTTTTCTTTTCTTTTTTTTTTTTTTTGTCTTTTTCCTTTTTATCAGTACTGGGGATCGAAGAAAAAATATTATTTTCCAGTGTTTTATATTGAGTCCCTTGAATGTTCATTGACTTTTGCGTTCTCTGAACTTTCCCTGTAACAAGATTCAAAATTTCTCTCAAGGTGAACTCAGTGATAAGTAGTTTTGCTTAGTGTTGGGGCTTTATAGAGTGCAATTTACTGGGAAGTCTTGGAAATCAGAGATGACGGTAGACAAGGCTTGAAGAACAGCTCATAATGCTCCATCTGAAGGGAATTTACAGACAGCTGAAGCCACATTTCCCCATCAGTTTAATGTCAAAGCTGCACATTACTTACATGAGGATGCAACAAATTCTCTGTGTTCCACTGATTTCATGAAATGGCCTTCTCTGCAGAGATTAGAGTGGGGGTTTGTGGGAGATTTTTCTTAATGAATTTTCTTAGTTGTATGGCAGGCACTAGTGCGGTACCTAAATTAATATCTAATGATTGTTACAGCACATGAAGCAGCACAGCACAGTGAGGACACTGAGTGGCCACACCTGAGGTCTGTGGGGCTCCCTCCTCTCCTGGCCATTTGTAGCACAAGCATAGTGCAAGGGCAGGACAGGAGCGCAGTGGGTAGTGGTCAGACAGTTAAGTCACAAGGGCTGGTTTTTCTGTAAAACTTACCAGAGAAAACTGGTGTCATTTGGGATTTTTAAGATAATATATGACATATGATAAACTGGGCAGATTCAAAGCACACAGTTTGGTAAGTTTGGATCTCTGATCAAGTACCGATTAGTAGATCATTGTTTATCAACAGATAGTACTGATGAAGCTATTGACACAGTAAAACTAGCAGGCACACCTGTCACCCCAAAGTTTCCTCCTGCTGTCCAAGTTCTTTCTACTTTGCTTTCTGTCTGTTTAGATCAATTTGTATTCTCTAGAGTTTCACATAAACAGTGTCATGTACGAGACTTGTTATATGTGTAATTTTACTCACTGGCTATGATCATGTTGAGATTCATCCATGGTATTTCAGTGCCTAGATCAGTAGTTCAAGGATTTATTTTGTTTTTTGAGTATTTTTTTTAACTGAGTAGTAGCCACTGTATGGATGTTCCACAATTCTTTTGTGAACTCAACTATCATGGACAGTGGGATTATTTTCAACTTGAGGCCATTACAAATAAAACTGTGTTAAGCCTTAATAGAGGAATTTTCAAATAGACATAGATTTTTCACTTTCTTGGGTACTACCAAGTAGTAGAATGTCTGTTTATCTTATAAGTATGTTTTTACTTTGTAAAGAAAATGACAAAACACTTTTCACAGTGTATGTACAGTTTTACATACCCATAGAGGTATATGAGAGTTCAAATTCCTGCCCATCCTACCTAACCCTTGGCATGTTTAGTCTGGTTGTAGCCATGTGATGGTAGCAATATCTCTGGGGTGGTATCTCACTGTGATTGCTTCATGGCTGCTTATCTTTTCATATGTTCATTTACCATCTGTCCTTAGTTACTATTCTCTTGTTGCTGGGCAAATACCCAATACCCAGAATGAAGGAAGGAAAGGTTTATTTAGCTCACAGTTTGTGGAAATTTCAGTCCATAACCAGCTGGCTCCAAAGCAGGGTGGCATGGCACAGGGGCAACACTTCAAGGCAGCAGAAGACAGCAAAAGCAACAAAAGCAAAAAAGGAAGAGAGCAAGCTTCTTTTCCTTCCTTATAATGTAAGCAGGCTTCCACACCCTAGAGCTGGTGTATGTAGGACTCATACCATTTCCGTGCCCGCCTCTTACCCAGCCTGGGGATGTTTACAAAGTAAGGACCCTGGCCCCCTGTTGAGTTACTTAGTTAAACTTCTAAATGTCTCAGGGTGACACAAATATCCACCATTACACCATCCTTACACCTTCTTTGGTGAGTTGCTTGTCAAACTCTTGCTCATTGTTTTCTGATTGTTCAGTTCTGTCTATACTCTAGATTCTGATCTTCTGTTGGATAGATATCTTTTCAATTATTTTCTCCTAATCTATAACCTTTTATCTATTGTAATTTTGAAGAGCAAGAGATTTTCATGTTAACAAACGTGTTAGTTTTCCATTTCTATAACTAATGCCTGAGGTACTCAGCATATAAAAGGTTTGACTCAAGTTTTAGACGCTTCCATCCATGATCAATTGGTTGGACGTGTGGTGTAGCAGGAGCCTATGGTGATCTGGGCACAGAGAGAGCAAGGAAGAGACTGTGATACCATGGTCTCTTTAGAGTGGCTGCCCCAATAACCTGATAACCCAATAACCTCCCCACAAGGCCCCATGTGTCAAGTTTCTTAGCACTTTCTGCTTGTACCACAGGCTGGGGACAAGGCCTCCATACATGGCCCTTTGGGGCCAATTAAGATCCAAACCGTGGTGCTGAAGTCCAGCTGGTCCTTGCTTTTTAGCACTGTGTTTAGCACTATATCTAACACATACCTATGCACACCACTGTCATAGAATTTTTAACCCAGGTGTCACTGTCCTCTGACATCCTATATCTCAGAGACCATTTTTGTAGGGGATTTTCCTGAGCATTTTTGTTGATTTCAAACTGAAGAGTAAATTTAGTCCCTCTTATTGCACTTGAACCAGGAGAAAAAAGCAGACATTTTGGAATCATTTTAATCCTAAAAACTTTTCACAGATTTTTAAGGTGGCCTCTCAGAAGCATCCTGACTACTCTATGTCTCTGCTCCTGACAGAGCATTGAAAAATAATGTGTGGCAATGAAGGCAGACCTTTTAAAGCTTCCAGGGATGCACATGGCCCACTGTCCCATGGCTCTACCATGCATGCCACAGGCTCGCTGCCCCTGGTCTACAGAGACTTCCCCTAAGTTCATGCTCACTCAGCCTTGAGACTGCCCACAGCTGTTTCCTTAGAGTAAGTTAGTGAATCAGCATTCATTAAATTTTCTTCAGGGGAGCAAAGAGCTACCGCACACCAGCTCTGTATTTAGAGCCCAGTTTTGGGTCACCTTGTAGAAAAGAGAACATTATTTCTAAGGGTCTCACACATGAGAACCATCAAAACCAATTCAATGTAGATCACAAGTTTTTTGTTTTGGTTTGGTTTTTGACTTGGGTTGGTTGTGGTTATGGTTGGGTTGGGTTGGTTGTGCTGAGTTGGGTTGATTGGTTGTTGTTGAGTTAGGTTGGCTTGGTTTTACAGCATAGAGGTTTGAACCTAGGATTTTCACACTAAGCTACATTCCCAGCCCTTTTTTATTTTATTTTTAAATTTTAAGACAGGGTCTTACTAAGTTGCCCAGAATTTTAAAAATCCTTCTACTCAGCCTCCTAGAGTGCTAGGATTATAGGTATGTGTCAACACATCTGGGTGTCGATCCCAGCTTTGCTTTTAAAATGTGCATTTGAAAAATGGGTGGGGATGTAGCTCATGTAAAAGCCTTGGGTTCCATCCCCAGTACTGAAAAACAAGTACATAGCATGCTGGATTCCACACGCCCACACACAGCGCTCAGGACACACATAGCTTTGTTCACGTGGTGCACACGCGTGTTGGCAGAACAGCAGCAGGGTGAGGGAAGGAAGACGTGAAAGAGCAGCTTGACAGTTAAGTGCTTGAATTGGGCAGCAGCCTTAATGACTGTCAGCCCTCTGAACCTAAGAACGACTTCAGAGAAAGCAGCTGTGGTGAGATCCTTAGGAGTAGATGTGTTTTTGCATCGTCAGTGTTGGATGTTGTGTGTAAAAACATTGTGATTTTTATTCTACTGTCGAGAATTGACAGTGACCATTTTGAAGCTCTCATAGGAGTCCTAATAATTTCCTGTGTGTACGAGAAGCACATTTCAGTGTATCTAATGGATTTATTGCTGACTTGTGTTTATAGAGAGCAAGGATAGACTATATAGCCAGTGTATAGAACAGAGAATATAAAAACCATACTAATAGTATCTCGAGGCAGAATTGCTCTTTTTCTATTAAAGAGTGTGCACTTGTGATTTTCAGTATGTACACTTAGCAAAAGTGCACCCTAGTTCTAGCAATATGGCTATACCTCAGAGGCTATAAAATAGGTGGGTGACATGAACCCAGCCCTGGATTAGCTTAGATTTCACTGAAGTGGCTACAGCGCAATGCAAGGTGGAAGATAATCAGGTGCTGAAATGGGTCCCCTGAGCCATGGGACACTTGATAGCATGTGCATGCTTCTACATTCCATCCTTGATTGGCAAGACTGGACTGCGGCCTGAGACCAGCAGTGCAAGTATGAGCCGAACACGTGTCCTGAGGGACCTTACTTGTCTGGGACAGGAGGATGTTGGCCTCTTTCGCAACCATTTGTGTGTCTGAAAGCACAAGACTGCCAGACAGCGTCCGGAGGTCCCAGGGCAGCAGGCTGAGTGTGTGAAGAGGTTGGCAAAGGCTGAGCAGCAGGCTGTTTGACGCGCATCCTGCGTGGATACCGAGCCTTGGGAAAAAGGTGCGGAGCCAGCTGTGCTTGGCAAGGGTGTGGAAGAGTCCTCGGGGAGGCTCAGAAAAACGTTTGTGTAGAAGAAGCCTGAAGAGTGATTTCGCAGCATTTCCAGGCAGCTGGTGGCCGCTGGAATCTCCTAGACTCTGTGCAGTGTTCCTGACGCCACATGGGAAGATGGAACGCTTCCTGCGGCCAGCAGCTGCTGTGTGCAGGCCGGGCTGTCCTTCAGAGATAGGAAACCAGCACCGTGAGGGTTAGAAACAGCTGCACTGTTCTTCGGCTCCCTCTGGACTCTTCTTTGTTGTCCTGGAAGGCATCGTGCGTGTGAGCCACACTGTCACACGTCAGGGCCATCCACCTGGTTTTGTATGAAAATGTCCTGCGTGTTTAGCAGCACCCAAGATGAAGTGTTAGGGCTGCCTGAACCTCAGCCAGGCGGATTCTGATTCTGCGTATGGTCATCAAACCTGGCTGAGAGCATGCCTGGGCCTGGCAGGCAGCCTGTGCTACTCAATTGCTCACTGTTCCCTGTGTGACAGAGGGAAGGCTCTGAAGACCCCTGCTCCATGGTGTTGTCGGGGCCACCAGGGAGAAAACTTCAGAGCCTGGGTTAAATTCTGCCATCGCCAGGCCATCATTTTCTAAGGCTTACTTCAAACAAAATCTGAGTCATTTCCTTACCTTCTTGGAAAAGGTTAATTTAAAACATCTAAATATGTTCAGTGGCTAATTGTTAGATTAAGAACAGTGCTTACCAACTGTTGGTTGACAGCCAAGCAATATCCTAAGATGCGGTTAGACCACATTTTGGAGAAATGAGAGGAAGGATCCTGCAACAGAGGAAATATATTGTATTGTAAGTTGTGGCAAAATACACAAAAGCAAATTCTACCATCTTGTTTTGAAGTGCATGATTCAGTCATGTTAAGTACATTTTATCTTGTGTAACCAATGTCTAAAATTTCTCATCTTACAAAACTTAACTTCTACGTGCATTACACAAAAGCTACCCCCTTTCCATCTCCCAGCCCCTGGCAACTACTGTTGTACTTTCTATCTCTAAGTTTGACTCTTACCTCTTCATAGGAATGGAATCTTGTAGTATTTGTCTGGTATGTTTGGCTTGTTTCCCTTAACGTAAGATCGTCTGGGTGCATCCATATTGCATCATGTGTCATAATGCTCTTATATTTGAGGCTGAGTACTACTCCTTGGTCTGCACATATCCCAAGCCGTTTGTATACTCGTCTGGCAGGGACACTCGTGTGGCTCCCTTTGACTGTTGTGAACACTGCTACTGTGAACATGGGTGGGAAATGTCTTTGCAGCCTTGCTTTCAGTTCTTCAGAGCATATTCTCATAAATGTAGCTGGTACAACCTGTGAAAATTGTATGCTTAATTTTTGAAGCAGCAACCAAACCGGTTTTCACAGCAGCTTGGCCATTGCACACTGCCAGGAGCCAGGCTATAGACTCTGCTTTATATCCTGGCAAACTTGGCTGTCATTCATTCTTTCTCTTTCATTTTTTTTCTTTTCTTTCCCTGCCTTCTCCTCTCCCTCCCTCCTTCGCTCTCTTTCTTTGCTTCTTTCTTTCCTTTAATCCCCCTCCTTTCACTGTGGCCATCCTAATGGTGAGAAGCCAGTCCCATTGTAATTTTGATTTGCATTTCTCTAATGATCAGTATCTTTTCAAGTGTTTACTGACCATTTGTGTATCTTCTTTGGAGAAATGTCTGTTGTAGTCTGTGGCCCAATTTTAATTAGTTTCTTTGTTACTGATTTGTAGAAATTTTTATATAGCTTACATATTAGCTTCTTATCAAATATATGATTTGCAGATATTTTCTCACATTCTGGTTTTGTTTGGGTATTAAAAATCTCGTATGAACTATGATAGACAGACCATAGTGGCTTCTTTTAACCCTCAACCAACAAAATCAAAGTTGTATCGAAACTGTCTTATTACAGTTCACTCAGAGAGGGGAGAAGGTATTTTTTTCTGACATCACTCTTTTCCTGTTGTTACACATTAGCCTTGCATGAGTGGCATCCCCTGCAGGGCATGTGTCATTGCTCAGGGTGGGTCCTGAAGCTGATAGGAGTGTAGCGTCCTGTAGGAAAGCTGGTGAGACATGAGGGCCTCTCCTTGCCTCCCACATCCACCTAACACCTGAGATGTGCCCTGTCTTGGGCCGAACTTTCTAGAAAAACAAAAAATTTAGGTAGAAAGAACCAGTCAGGGCCATGCTTCTAGAGGATCTCGTCTAAATCACACCTGACCCTAAGGAATCTCTCCCTAATCTGAAATGTATCTAGAGGAGATTTTGGAAGACGTCTCATTGTTTAACACCTGTGTTAATAAATCCCCTGCTTATGCGGTTGAATCTTTCTTCTCACAGCATAATAATCAGGATGTAATCCCAAGGCTTTGCTTAGTGCCTTTTTTCCTAAATCATGTTATTAATCCTTCTAATGCCTCTGTGATGTGAGGGTGAGTAAATATTACTATTTAAACCTAATCATCCTGTCTTAATTCCTTTCTCTGTAAAAAGAGAGTAATAATAATATTTATGCAGATTTTTGGCTATTTTTTAATGGAGAAAGGAATTAAAACGAGGTGCTCAGTGCATTTTCCCAGGATCACAGGTGAGGCCGGAGCAGTGCAGGGGGAGATGTCAGCAGCACCTGAGAGAGATGTCACTTGGAGTGGCAGGACCAGCCTTCCACTTGGTTAGTTCCTTTGCCCCTGGCAGAGTCAGTGTCATTCTGCATGTCTCCACAAAGTGGGCGTCATCAAGGCCAGTGTTACAGTGTGTGACCCAGGTAGTAACACATGGGAGGGTCTGACTCTTGCCCTGATTTTGGTTACTGCCATCTTGAAATTCATCATAAACTTGGAACAGAGGCTGTAGGCCCCATGAGACAAGCAGCCTGTCCTGGGCATGGTGTCAGCTGTCTAGGGTGGTGGTGATCAGAGGCGTGTAAGGAACCACCTGTACAGTAAGGATCAGTAGCAAGTGTGCCGAGGGGTCAGGGCAGCAGAGTTAACGGAAGCAGAGAGCCCAGGTGGACCAGGTCAAGTGCCATCTTAGCCTGCAGGGAGCACCTTTTAATGGCCAAGAAGATGCCAGTTGGCCAGTGAAGTTTACGAAGGTCACAGGCCTAGAGAGGATGTATCATTACATTACATCCCTGCCCACCATTTTCAAATTCAGGGCACTTTTGCAGTGACTCTCAGACCTGTGCAGAACAGCAGGAAACACATACCACCAATGTGCTCATCTGTGTCCAGTTGGCCAGGTGACTCATCTTCAGTCTCAGCTCTCACACTGTAAATTAGTGCCTGTCTTGAGACGCGTGCATTGGCAGTGTGCACTGATGCACAGAGATTCAAACAGAAATGGGCATGAAACAAGGTTATGCATATATCATTTGATGAAACATTGTCACCAGCAGGTGGTGGGATCCTCACCTTCTATTTCCCGCAGGAGTAGGGTATTGACCAATCGGTAACTTTGTTTTAGTTTTTTGTGGGACTAGGGCTTTCACACTGCACTGCATACTCAGTCCTGTTTTGTTTTGTTTTGTTTTGTTTTGTTTTGTTTTGTTTTGAGATAAGGGCTTGCTAAGTCACTGAGTTGCCCAAGCTGGGCTCAAACATGCCATCCCCGCCTCAGCCTCCGAGAGTTGCGATTACCAACACATGCCACCGTGCCTGGCTCTCACGGTGGTTTCATGGGCCATCACTACTGTAACTGTTGGGAGTTGGCTGAATGCGTGTAACCTACAGGAAATGTGAGCTCAATGGTCAAGGACCTCTGAAGGAACAACCAACCATGGAAGCCAGGGGAGGCTCTCTTTAAATGACAAGGTCTACAACCTTTAAGCTGCACAGTGTCACCTGGTGTCTGGCTCACTCCCCAAGGACCTTTCCCTGCCTCATTTCCTAAAGGCTGGAAGAGTCTTTGTGAGAAGCAGAAGGTCACATCTGGCTACCACCGTCTTTCTCAACTTGGAGACCATTTCCCATATGCCATGCTCGTGTGTTCCAACAGACAGGAAAAAACCCTTGTTCTCTCAAAAGCTATTGTCACATCTGCAAAATGTCTTCTCATCCAGGGAACAGACAACTTTTTGGGTAAGAACTAGGTTGCTATTACAGGTTTTCTAGGCCATAGGTTCTTACAACTATTCAACTGGATGACTGTAGCATGAAAACAGTAGTGGTAACATACTTCAACTACTTTGCATAATTTTAACACATCAGGAAATAACATTTAAAAATTTTTTCAACCTCTTCAAAAGTATAAAAAATACACATCAAAAACTTGCAAAAACATTAGGCCAAATATGGCCCGTGGGCCATAGATCACTGACCTCTGTTTAAGTTAGGAGCATCATAGAATGAAGGAAATAAAATAGGCCACCCTGACGTAAGCATTCCTATTTAAACCTGCCCTGGCTACTGGGACCTGCCCCTTAATACTTCAGGTTCTGTTGGCTTACTTTCCCCCCAGAAATTGACACAAGAATTTAACTGCTTAATCTAGATTTACCCTAATATTGAGGTTGGTAACATATAAACAAGATGATTTAGATTTTTTGGTTTGCTTAGTGTAGTATACATTTGCAAGAAAGATCTAGGAAATATTGAAAACAAAATTAGGGAAAGTTCATACTTCTATATACAGTAACATGCCAATGCATTTCAGACTCAACCCTTTCATTACATTTCCTTTGTGCGGCAATGTTCTAATTATCCCTTTATCTTTAAGCTCTGCTTTCTTCTTCTCCATTGTGTCATTTTTCTTTGTGTTTTTCGCATGTACAATAGACCTTATTCACAAGAAGGCGGAGTTGCGGTCTGGAAAGAGGCTTGTAATACAAGGAAACTTAAACAGGGTGGAAATTAAATAAATTTACCAAAAAACTAGAAGGAGAATGAGCCGGTTTTGCTTAGCACAGCATCCACATGACACTTTTATGGGATTTTAACATTCAGCACTGACCAGAGATCAATGATTGGGGTTGAATTTATTATAAAAATGGTGACGAGGATCATATAACAATACATAACCCTCAGAGGCTCCCGGAAGGGGAGTGGATGCAGAGTTTGCAGAAAGGCCCTGGGTGTTCCTGAGTCATGGGACGGCATCCACTTGCATCCCAGCTCCTGCCCCCTCCTGGACCAACCCAAGCTTCCCTGTCTGGGTCACTCCATCAGGGCAGGCTGGACAGTGCTTTTTGCTGCAGTGTTGAACGTGCCCTATCCCATCCTGGCAGCCAACCTGGCATTTTCCAGTACAGCTCACGTGATGATACAGCAGGGCTGGTGACCCCATAGAGCCCTGTGTCCTGCCACGAGGACACCTGAAGCTAGGTGTCCCCATCTACTGCAAGCCCATCTGGGGCAGAGGAGAGCATTCTCTTCAAATGAGGAATCAACAAATGAGTCCATTTGTGCACAATACCTCAGAGCCGCAGGCAGCAATGTCCCCAAGTGCCTCTGCCACACTGAGTGTTCTCACTGATGAAGCTTTGGTCACCAGATACCTTTGGATATCTGATGATACAGTTCTTCAGGACTTTCCTAAGCTGAGCCCTTAAGAGAACCTGCCAGCAGCTCTCAGGCTATCAGCCAAGTGGCTTAGATTATGTTTACTTTGGGTCTGGAAACAAAACAGATGCTCCTAAGGCTGTGGCAGGGAAGGGACTTGTTACCATGTCATACTTCACTGACGTGTAGTCAATCAAAGAGGAGCAGGACACTGGCTGCAGCAAGCCCACCTGTATACTTGCATGCATCACACCTGCCCACCCAGCTGGAAAGAGGGTGGGGTCTTGAGCCTGGGGTGTGTGTGTGTGTGTGTGTGTGTGTGTGTGTGTGTGGTATCTGGAATCGAACTCAGAACCTTGCACTTGCCAGGCAGGCACTTATGCTGCTGAGCTGTTCATAACACCCATCATTTACCATTGGGCCACCATCTTACAGTGTAGCATTCAGTGGAATTAAGCACATTCACGTTGTTGTACCATCATCATCACAGTGTCCATTCACTTCCTGTGGGCATCTGGATTGCTCCCAAATTCTAGCTAGAGTGAATACGGCCACTATAAGCATATGTAAGATATATGTGTATATCTATACATATATCTATCCAGATCCCTGGTTCAGTTTTTTGGGCTGAAGGCCTGATTGTGGAATACTGCACTATATGGTGAGTCCATGCTTAATTTTTTGAGAAGCTACTCTTCTGTGTCCCACAGAGCTGATGTATTTCACATTCCTTTCCCAATGGCACCCACAGTGTCCAGTTATTCCACATCTTACAAGAAATTACTATTTCCTGTTTTCTAATGGCCATCCTATTGGGTGTGAGGTATTGTCTAATTGTGTTTTTGGTTTTAATTTACGTTTTTGTAATGACTGGTGGTATTAAACATCTTTACATTTGTTTAGCAGCCTTTTTGAGGGGGGTGGTACCAGGAATCACACTCAGCACCTTGTCGTTGCCAGGCAGGTGTTGGGCTGCTGAGCTAGCCCTGGCTCCTTAGCAGCCTTTTTTATACCTGGATTGGAGAATTTGATTTGTTTTTTAAGCTGGATTTTTCTGCTGTTGATCTGTAGCATACATAAGCATGCTATTAAAGCCTTAGTAGATAAACAGTTTGAAAATATTTTCTCCCCCTCCAAGGGTTGCCTTTTAGTTCTCTTGTGTCCTTTGATGCCCAGTCTCTAACCCCAGTGTCATCCAGTTTATTTTCTGTTGTTGTTGCCCATGCTTTTGGTGTCAGAGCCAAGAATAAGCCCGCTTCATTCTGCATGGAGGCCAAACTCCTTATATAATCGCTGCAGGTCGTTTTCCAGCATTCACAAGTCTATTTCTGGAACACCTAGACTAAACAGTCACTGGCCGCTTGCGTCCAGTGAAACTGTTAAAGTATTTACAGTTGAATCTGTGGATTTTTTGCCCCAACCCCATCAATACAGCTGGCTAAGGTTTTATTTTCTTTTTTCTGTGAGTGGCACCGGGCATTGAACATAGGACCTGATACCCCGGGTCACACACTTTTCCACCGAGCTGCACCCTGAGCCCTAGGTGATTAAATTCTGATCTTTGAGAACAAGGCTTCAAGCCGAGCTCATGGTGCTTGTTTCAGGCAGGGACCCATTTTATTTAGGCAGACAGTCTGTACTGGCAGCGAGACGCACAAGTGAGTGGGCTCTGGAAATCACTCTGGAAGGAGCCCAGCTCAGAGGCCGCTGTCCTGGCTCTATCTCTGTGAAGCAGTTGTGTGGCCCCAAGTGACAGGCGGGGGATCCATGCCAGGAGGCATCCTGATATGGTGGCTGGTGGAGGGCACAGCCCAGTGAGTCAGTGCCCGCGATGACAGGCAATGACTCTGCAGAGAGCAGGGAAAGGGCACAGAGGGAGCCCAGAACCCTGCAATGGGATGGAACCAAGTGCCATTGGCTGCCCTGCGACCTTGCTGGGCTCCTCCACCAGTGACAGCTGTGGCCCATCAGCTAGGAGATTAGAGTGGGGCCTTCGCTAAACTTCTGTGATCCCAGCAGATGCGTTTTTGCCCTGAATGAATGAAGAGTCCCTATATAAGTCTTTGCCTGATTCCCAACAGTGTGGGACTCTCAATGCTGATTATAATTAGGGTTCTTGCCTCCCCACCGAGCCTGGTGTTTACCAAGGAAAGCTGACTGGGATGAACACTGAGGCTGCAGCAGGCCAGGCCATTTTTGGGGCTTCCGTTGAAGAGGCTGGCACTGTCAGCACTCTCAGGGTCCAGCTCTTAACTCACGCCCTGCTCTGTGCACCTCTGACCACACTGCTTTCAGCATGGGTCACATGCTGAACTCCCATTAAACCCAGCGTAAACACCCTGGGTGAAAGCGAGATCCCAGGAGAAGACAGCAAGAAGTTAAACGACAAGCCCCGGGGTTTGCATTATTCAGGGTCACTAAAATAGAAATGGCTGAGGGTAAGCCGGGGTCCGGATGAGTCAGAGAAACCAGGACCTGGGAACCCAGGCAACTGTGAGTCTCTTCAGAGACCTCCCCAGGTCACTCAGCAGTGCCACCAGGGACCCTCTTGGAAATGTGCCTCTTCTTGATGGGAGAGGGGAGCACATCTTTAATAGAAGTACTTAGGGGGCGGAGACCCTGAGGTGAGGTTGCTCACCAGGGCAACTTGGTGAGATCTTGACTCAATAATAAAAAATTTCAAGAAGTGTGAGGATGCAGCTCAGTGTGGAATGGCCCTGAATTAGATCTCCAGGATAAGAAAAAAAAAAGGTAGTTTCTGCCTTCAAGGAGCTGGCAGGCCCCTGGAGGAGCTACACCATAAATAAAATTTAACCATAGAGATGTGAACAGTGGAACAAATAGCAAGTGATTGTCATTTAGCTACCCAGCTAAGTGTCAGCGGTGAGGTCAGAGGAGAGGGAGGCCTCCCCATGAAGAGGTGACTGCAGCGAGGGGGTAGGTAACAGGAAGAGTCCCTGGGAACCATGCAGATGTAGCCCTGGCTTGCATCATTGGTGAAGAATAACATTTTAAAAAATTACTCCATGCCCAATGGGCATCCAAGGAATGCATAGAAAATCTCCCACAGCGCACTGTCCAGTCACTCTAAAAGGAGTCATTCTGAATGGTGGCCTTCCAGAGGGTCTGGATTCCCAGTGTCCCAAAACTGTGGCACATCTTAAGCAGTTCACATCCCATTCACCACCCTCTGTGGCCCACGTAGGGATGCACAGTGCAGTTCACATGTGACCCACAGCACCTCTGGTATGCCGTGTCAGCCCACCCCACCTCTGCTGACTCTGCGTCTGGGGCAGTGGCCAACCCTGCACTGAGAAGGGGACTGGGAATGCCACCTGTGAGGACCTGTGCTTCATACCCCTCTGCGTCCTTGTTCTTGGACTGTCTGGCTGGGCAGGAGCCACATGTGCTTATATTCCTTGGGGGCATGCCGTGTGTACTGCACAGGCACACAGAGGCCACTTTTCTGTAACCTAGCAGTGTGGCTTATAAGCCAGTGTCCTTGCTGAACTGACCTCACTGTTTGATGTGGGACTCTCATGGCCTCATTCCCAGCTCCTCAAGTTCCGCCCCATGCAGCTCCTCCTGTCGTGTGCCTGGCTTTTCCAGCAGGGAAGGTGCTGTGTCCTGTAGCACTACTCTTCCCTGATCACTGACTGAGGACCAGGTAGGGCTGGGTCTTACCCTGGAGGCCCCTGGTCCACTGGCTGGGGCAGGCCAGGGTCAGAGGAGGGCTGGAGAGGGCTGAGGGTCCATGAGTGCTTGGTGGCAGGACCTGCTCCTGGCCTATGTTCTCCTCACTCAGTGACAAGTGTCTCCTGGCTTCTGTTCTCTTAGGTGCTTCCTGAGCTCCACAAGTGCAGACCTGACTCAGGTGTGAGATCTGCAGAGGCTTCTGGCCTTCCTCCCAGAAAGGGTGGCCAAGGCAAGCTGAGGCCTTCCGAACAGCCAGCCCTGCGGTTGGCTCTGCCTGCTCTAACAATTAAGATGATTCCTTTCCTGAAAGTGTTAGTGACTCTCCCACCCCTAGGCCAACCCCATGTGAGGCTGTGACACTGGCCACCTTGCTCAGGAAGGTGCTGTCCCTCTGCAGCTGACCGAGGCAGCATAGAGGCCCTGGCTGGCAGCTGACGACTGGGAATGAACAGCTTGCACTGTCTGAGGAACAAGAACAGAGGTGGGTGGGAAGCGCCAGCCCAGGTGAATATGCATAGTAGGCGAGAGGTGTCTGGGACACCTGTCCCCAGCCAACCTGCAAGGAACACAGCCCATACTGGCCTCTCCACACTGGTCCTTTTCCTCAGCATCTCCCAGGCCACGGACACAGGGAGGCAGGTAATATGAATAAGGACAGAGGCAGCCAGCAGGCCTGTCCTATCAGTAGGTTCACAGTCGTGTCTCCCAGCGAAAACGCTGAGAACCAACTTCCCTCTTCCTCCTCCTCCTAGCCCACAGGAAGCTGTGCTGTTGGCTGCTGTGTGCAAATCAGAATTATCTAGGCCATAATGGTGATTCAGAGTGTCGTGGTCTCACTGACAGACTCTCCAGTTGTTGTCCAGTGGCTGCATGTCACAGACTCGTTCCTCCTTTGGGTCCTATCCAAAGGCCTCCGATTCTGAGCACCTCCCTGTGCACCAGCTTCCTAAAGCTTCACCTCCTCTTCTGTTAAGACTGTAGCCCACCTAAAAGCCCTAGGGCACGGAGACAGGGAGCTTTTATCATTGGACATGAACAAGGCCTAGATTCAGAGCCCTGAAACTCATGGTCACTAGGTTGACCCATTCTGCTGGCAATCAGTGCTGCCTAGACAGAGATGCCTTGTCTACCTTTTGTTTAAAATTTTTGATGTATTTTTCATTGATCCATAGCAGCTGTACCTAGCTGAGGTACAGGGCGGCATTTCAGTACTTGTATAAAATGTGCAGTGATCAGAACAGGGAGGTGGCACACTTAGCACATTAGACGTGCATCGCGCCATTGCTTTGGGAACATTCTCAGTCCTTCCCATGAACTTTAAAGTCTTAATTGTTTCTCAGCCATACTTATCCTGTTCTGTGCCATAGAACATCATAGTTGCCCCTTCTATCCAACTTCACTGCATACCCATTGGCTGTCCTTTCTCAGTCTGTCCATCCATCCCTACACTCTTTCCAGGCTCTAGTAACCATTGCTCCATTCTCTGTTTCTTTGACATCAGTGTTTTGGCTGCCACATATAAAGTTACAGTGTGCTATATCTGGCTTTCTGTGCACAACTTCCTTCACTTAATGTGTCTTCCAGTTCCATCTGTGCTGCTGCACATGACGGAAATTCACTTTATAATGGCTGAATATTATTCCACGGTGGACAGCTGCCACTTTTCTTCATGCACTCATCTGCCCAAGAGCACCTGGGTTGATTTCACTCCTTGGCCATTGCAAACGGTGCTGCAGCAAATATGACAGCAGACATCTCTTTGTCATACTGACATGCACGCATCTGGCTGTCTCCCGAGTGGTGGGTCCCTGGATCACAGGGTAGCTGGATCTCTAAGATGTTTTGGTGGAACCGTCATACTGTGTCCCATAGCGTTTGAACTACTTTACATTCCCATCAGCACTGTAGGGGAGTTCTCATTCTCTGCGTCCTCTCCAGTATTTACTATTTGTCTTTTTTGATAACAGCATTCTAAATGGGGTAAGTTGCTATGCACTATGATTTCGATTTGTGTTGCTCTGGTTATCAATGATGATGATGGTGGTGGTGGTGTTTTACACGCTTGGCCACTTGTGCATCATGTATGAAAAATGTCTACCAGGTCATTTATCTACCTTTAAATTGGATTATTTGATATGTTTTTCTTTTGTTTTCTTATTGTTGAAGTTCCTTATGTATTCTGGAAATCGATCCTTTGTTGGATGGGCAGTTGTCTTATCACTTTAATTATTTCCATTACTGTGGAAAAGCTTTTAAGTGGAATACCTGGGTCAAGTGGAATCTCTGTTTTAGTTTTCTGAAGAGTATCCATACTGATTTCTATATTGATGGTACCAGTCTACCCTTCGAAAATAGTGGAGAAGGGTTCTTTTTTCCCCCACACCCTTACCAGCATTTCTTACTGATTTCTTGGAAATAGCATTCTTTCCGGAGGGAGATGGAATCTCAGTGTCATTTTAATTTGCGTTTCTCAATGACCAGAAATGTTCAACATTTTTTCATATGTTTATTTGCTGTTTGTTCTGAGCTGTTGGGCTGCTGTTTTGAGAAGCATCTATTCATTTCAGATACCCATTTTTGGATTGAGTTTTTAAATTGTGGGAACTTATTTTATGTTTTTTAGTTCTCTATATATTCTAAATATTAGTAGTTTGTCTGAGGAATATACAACTCTGGGAATTACCTCTTCACTCTGTTGGGTTGTTTTTGGTTTTGCTATAAAAAAGTTAATTGTTGTTGATTCTTTGCAGTATTTCGTGTGCGATTATGATTTATTCATAAAGTTTTTGCCAACAACTGTGTCTTCAAGACTTTTACTCTTTCAGCAGATCTAGTGTTTCTCCTTTAATATTTAGATCTTTATATGTTTTTATTTTATGTCAGTGACCAGTGAGGTCTGGGTTTAACCTTTGGCGTGTGGAAAGCCAGTTTCCCAGCACCATTTATTAAAGAAGCTATTTTTCTCCCAGTGCAGGTTTTTGGCCCCTTTGTCAAAGATAGATGACTGAGTGTGTTTGTAGTTGTTTCTGCATTTTGCATTCTATCACACTGAGCCTTGGATCTGTTTTGTTTGTTTGTGTTTCTGTTTTACCAGTACCAGGCTGGTTTTGGTTTTGTTTTTTTATCATGGCGACTTTGTAGTACAATTTCAAGTCAGGGACTGTGATGCCCCCGCCTTGTCTTCCTTGACCAGAATTACTTTTGCTATTCTAGATTCCTTCTGGTTCCAAATTGATTTTGGATTGTTTTCTCTAGTTCTACCAAGTATGCTCTTGGTATTTTGATCTGGATTGCAGTGAATCTGTACAACAGTTTTATAAGTATGGCCCTTTTCACTATATTGGTTCTGCCTTCCAAGCACAAGGGCTGTCTTTCCATTTTCTCACGTTTTCTTTGATGACCTTTTTCAGAGTGCTGTAGTCTTCAGGGTAAAGGTCTTTCACTTCCTTTGCTGCACTGATTCCTAAGTATTTCATTTTTCTTGATGCTATTGTAAAGGGCATTATGTCTCTAATTTCTCTCTCACTGAGTTTTTGTACAGGAATGCCACTGATTTTTAAGCACTGACTTAATATACAGATATGCAATTAAATTTGATTAATAAATCAAGTCTTTCGGTGATTTTCAGGGTCTTCTACATAGAGTATCCTGTCATCCACAAATAGTGATAATTTCTTTCTTGCTCTTGTCTCATTGCTCTGGCTAATGTTCCCAGAGCTGTATTAAATAGGACTGTCAATAAGAACCTTTCCTTTCTTTCTGTCTTACTGTTCTAAGACTTCTAATACTTAATTTAATAACAGTGCTGAAACTGAACTTGTTTCTCAGAGAAAATGATTTTACTTATGGTATTGAGTTTGTCACATATATTCCTTATGTAACATGAGAATTTCTGCAGTTGTGTTCATCAGGAATTTTAATCTATAGTTCTCTCTCTCTCTCTCTCTCTCTCTCTCTCTCTCTCTCTCTCCCTCCCCTCTCCCTCTCCCTCTCCCTCTCCCTCTCCCTCTCCCTCTCCCTCCCCCTCCCTCCCTCCCCCCCATCCCCGGGTGTGTGCACGCGTGTGTGTGTGTGTGTGTGTGTGTGTGTGTGTGTGTGTGTGTGTGTGTGTGTCTGTGGTGTCTGGTTTTGGTAATAAAGGTAATTCTGGCCTCAAATGAATTTGGAAGGACACTGACACTTTTTATGCTTTGTAGTACTTTGAGAACTGCCAGTGGTTCTTTAAAACTTCAGTAAAATTCAGTGAAGTTCCCTGGGATTTTGTTGATTTCATATTACTGATGTGATCTCATTACCTGTTACAGTTTTGTTCAGGTTCTCCATACAGTCTTCGTTCTATGTATTTATTCTAGTTTTTCCAATTTGTTGACATATATTGTTCATTACAGTTCCTAAGGTGCCTTTCTATTTCTGGTACATCGTTTGTAATGTATCCACTTTTATCTCTGATTCATTCTCTGGCGTCTTGGTCTCAATAGTCTGTGTGAAGGTTTGTGAGTTTTATCTTTTCAGAAATACAATCCTTGTCTCGTTGGTTTATTTTAGTCTCTTTATTTCTACTCTGATCTGTTACTGCTTTTCTTCTACTAATTTAGATTTAGTTTGTTTTTGCTTTTCTAATTTCTTGAGTTGCATCTATAGGTCATTTAAAAAAACTTTTGAGGCATTTGTTTTAAACTTCATCTGAATGCTGCTTTTGATATGTCCTATAAGTTTGGGTATATTCTATTTCTATTATTACTTGTTTCAAGAATTTTTAAAATTTGATTTCTTCGTGGACCCAATGGTCCTTCAACAACAACAACAACAAAAAAAAACTAATTTCCATTATTTATGCAACTTCCAAAGCTACTCTTGCTGATTCCTGGTTTTACCACATTGTGGTCAGGGAAGAGACATGTTATAATTCTAATTTTTAAAAAATATGTTAGATTTCTTTTGTGGCCTCGCATGTAGTCTCTCCTAGAGTGTTCCATGTGCTGAAAGGAATGTGAACTGTAAGCTGTTGGGTGGGCGTCTAGAAGTCTCGAGCAGTGGTTCCATTCGGCTTATGATACTGTTTAACTGCAGTCATTCTGTGTTGGACTGATTTTGGTCTGGATGGTTATTCATTAATGGAAGTGGGATTTGAAGCCCCCAAATATAAATGTATTAGATGATATCCTTCTGGATTCATTTCTGTTTTATGTAACTGGGTTCTCTGGTACTGGATATATTTATTTAACTTACAAATGTTATTTCCTATTGTTTAACTGATCCCTTTATCGTTATGTGGTGACCATTTTATCTTTTGGGTTTTCAGTTCATTATTTGTATGGTGTATCATTTTCCATCCCTTCATTTTTCAGTCTATGTTTTTCCTGGTGAAATGAATTTCTTCATTTGGTCTCGTATTTTGCTTTGCTTTGCTTATTTTTGCTCATAACCCCATCTGTATCTGTCTTCAATTTGGGGTGTCCAATTCATTTCCACCCAAGGTTATCTTTGGTAATTAAAGACATATTCCCGTCATTCTGTTGTTTATTCTGGTTGTTTTATATATCTTTTGTCCTTTTTCCTCTCATCTGTCACTGTGGCTTGGTAATTAACTACACAGAGACATTTAATTTCTTTTTCAAGTGCCTGCTTTCCTGCTGACTTCTTCTTTTTTTTTTTTCCTGCTGACTTCTAAACTTTTACATGGTTTTATAATGTTGGCGTCAACCTTTCACATGTAGATGAGAGCTCCCTTGTGAATTTCTTATAGTTACTTGAGGGGTGGTGATGAACCCTTTTTTTGTTTGCTTGCTTTGGAAGGTTGTGATCTTTCATTTCCTAAGTATAGCTTGGATGTATATATTTTTGGTTGGTACTTATTTTCTTTCAGAGCTCGAAAAAGTCATCTCATTTTCACCTGGCATGCAAGGTTTACACTGATAAATCTACTACTGGTCTGATGGGATTTCCTTATAATTCCTCCTGTACTATTTTTATTAACATGTATTAATTGCACATATTACTGGAGTTTACATCATACTTCTGTACACATAAACAACATCCATCAATCAACTCTAACCCCACATCCACATACCACCCTTCCTAATCTCTAGTAATCACTATTATACCAAATTATTTTTAGGTTCCACATAAGAGATAATGTGATATATTTATCTTTCTGATTTGTCCTGAAATTGCATCCATTTTTGCTACATATGACAGAAGCTGTTTTTTTTTTAATGGAAAAAAAAGTAAAATTTCCAAACAGTAGAAAAATAACAATAGTTAATACATTGCATATTGTTATCTTCAGAGTACTCAGAGTACAAGTCAGAGGCATAAAATTCTCTAAATAATATTAGCACTAGTTTCTTTTAGGTCATAGAAAAGAACAGTTTATGCTAATATGCGTTGGTTTTCATGGCTGAGTAATATTCTGTATGTATCCATGTTTTCATTATCCATTTATCCCACTGATAGATTGATTCTGTGTGTTAGCTGTTGTGAATAGTCTAGGTGAACACAGGTGTGCATCTCTTTAGCACACTGACTTCATTTTTTTGGATGTGCACCTATGAGGACAGCTGGATCATACAGTAAATGGAGTTTTAATTTTTTAAAGAACCTCCATAATGCGTATAGTAATATACATTCCCACCAATAATGAGTTCCTTTTTATGCGTTGATAATAGTATTCTGACAGAGTGAGATGGTTTCTTAGTTTTATTTGAATTTTCCTGATGGCTAATGATTATCAATTCACAGCATTTGCCCAATAGACAGTTTTCTGTGGTTATTATTATATAATCTGGATATTAATCCTCTATCAGATGAATACTTTGTAAATAATTTCTCTTATTTAGGTTGTCTTGACTCTGTATTTATTGTTTCTCTTGATGTATAGAAGCTTTTTAGTTTGATGTTATCCCATTTGTCACTATTTGCTTCTGGCATCATACTTAGAAAATTATTGCCTGTAAAAAGTCTTGAAGTGCTCACCCTATATTTCTTCCTAATAATTTCATAGTTTTAGGGCTTACATTACGATTTTGCTCCATCTTGAGTTGATTTCTGTACAGGGTGAGAAACAAATTTCAGATGTCTGCTTGTGGCTATCCAGTTTTCCCACTTATTGAAAAGAAACCATCCAGTGCATGGCTTTTGGCACCTTTGTTGGGAATTCGTTGGTTGTAGCCTTGCGAGTTTACTTCTGAGACCTGTGTTCTGGTCCATTGGCCTGTATGGCTGTGGTTAGGCCAGTACCACGCTGTTTTGGTTACTGTGGATCCAGTATGAGACGGAATTGAGATGTTTCAGCTTCGCTCCTTTTGCTAAAGAATGCATTGGCTATAGTGAGTCTTTTATATGTCCCTATACATTTTAGAATGGTTTTTCTAGTTATGTGCAGAATAGAATTAGGATTTTGATGGATTTTGTGTTGAATCTGTAGATATCACTGAGTAGTATGATATTTTTACAGTATTCTTCCAGTCCTGAAATGGGAATATTTTTTTTTGTTTGTTTGTACCTCTTACACTGTATTTGCAATTTTCATTGTAGAGGTCCTTCACATCCTTGGTTCAGTTTTTCTAAAGAAAAAATTTCTTGAAATTTTTCACTGTGAAAGGAAATGTTTTTGTGATTTCTCAGCAAATTCTTTGGCCTGTAAAAAAGCTACTGATTATGTAGATTTTGTATTTGGTACTCTGATGAATTTCTTTCTTAGTTCTAGTCTTTTGGTGGAGTCCATAGGCATTTGTACATATAGAAGTGTATCATGTGCAAAGTAGAGTAATTTTGAGTTCCTTACTTATGGCTGTTATTTAGTTCTTTTGCTTAACCGGCTTAACCACCATCTAAAACTTCCTGTACTATACTGAACACAAATGTTGAGAGCAAGCACTCTTGTCTTGTATCTGATCAAGGAGTATTTGCAGCTTTCCCCCATTCAGCATGATGTGACTGTAATGTAATGCCTTTATTAAGATATTATCCTTCTATAAGTAACTATTAACAAAGTTTATGATGGTGAATGTTATCAGGTGATTTTCCTGTATCTTTTGACTTGATTAGGACTGAACATCCCTCATTTGTTGATGTACTACCTTTAGTGATTTGCCTGTGCCGGACCATCTTTGCTTATTGAGATGAAGTCCATTTCATCACTCTGAGAGATTTTTTCTGATTTGCTAGTATTGCACGAAGAATTTCTGGATTTATGTTTCAGAGTTTCAGTCTATAGCACTTTGTTGCTGACTGATTTTAGTGTTGGGGCATTTCTGTTTTGGTAGAGTGAAGGTGGAAGGCATCTAACCCTTTTAATTCTATGGAATCTCTTGAGAATGATTAATGTTATCTCTTAATTGAGAATGATTAATGTTATCCCTTAAAAGTTCAGTAAAATTCAGTCCTGTGCCTTTCTTTATTGGGAGGCTTTCTATCACTGGTTCAGTGTCATGTGGTTAGTCTGTTAAATTCTGGAAAGTTACGTGTCCATAAATTTGTCCATTTCTCTGGGTTTTGTTTATTAGCATATAGTTTTCTATAATCCAAAATGATATTTCTATTGATTCTAGTATCTCCTTTATCACCTCTGATTTTATTTCTTGGTTTAGAGCTAGAAAGTCCCACACAAGTCTCACGTGTGGACCAGCAGGGCTTTGGAAGACGACTGGCTCCTGGGGCACTACACCGAGTGCGCGTCAGGAGCGGGACACGGCCAGGGCCACGGCCTGGAAGGGTGGACTCCCATCCCAACCTCTCCTTCACCCTACTGCCTGGACACTGGGTCGAGGACCCTTTTCCTTCACCCTCCTGCCCTGGAGTCTGTTTCTGCTTCGTAGTCTGCCACAACAAATCCCTCTTCTTTTAAATTCTAGGCTCAG